TAGTGCACATTCGAGAGTATCAGCAATTTTTGATCAAAGCAAACTGAGAACATAGCTCACCTTGACGTTTTACAATGTGAGAGAAAGGCTACTCCTAAAGAAATGAAAAAAGAGTGCTTTATCACTCCATCTCTTTCCTGTATCCCTCCTCGTCAACACCATCAGCATGCCATTTCTTGATCTATTCGCTTTTACTTAGCCACTTCGGTATATAAACAATTCGTATATTTACAACTTGCTTAGATATGCTTCTATGTTGAAAGGAGCATTGCAATCTTTGGAAGAGTTCAGTTTCCATCGTTGATAAAGTTAATGGCTGAGGAGACAAGCTGACTTCTGTGGTAGATAACTCGCCCATGAGATTCTCTTCGACTCAATTTCAACATGTAAAACGACTTACAAAAGTATTCTCGTTGAGTGTTGACTGCAGCTTCGTTGGCTTTGGCACCTTCATCGAATCGCCGGTTCAGAGATGGCCCTAGCAGCATGCGGTTTCCCAGCCTTCTTTAATTGAGTGGTAAAGTCTGTCTACGAAATTTCAGGTATGGTGGAGCCAGGGTATAAATCTGTTTAAGCTCTGGCTACATCGCAAAGGTCGGCAAACAGTCATTGTTTGTTTAGCTCCATTGAGCACTATGGAACACGTAAGCCATCTGTTTGGGCATCGGTATCAAAAATATTCCAGTGAATTTGCAGCAACCAAATATGCAGTCCGCATAACGCTAGAGGGTGTCAGGGAAGCCAGTGACAATTGCGAGGAATTTGTTTCTGAGCCATCGAATGGGAAAAGTGTTCAACTCTTCGCTCTTGATGTGCTCTCGATGGGCGCCGATGCAATCTGGACAGACTCGCAAATGTCCAAAAGGGGACTTTCATTTTGGAATAAAGAGTGCAAGGCTGCTTTAGTTCAGAGTGGGTAGCCTAGATCTCTACAGCCCTTGATTTTGGAATGGAAAGTGGTTGAATGCTGAATGATGTGGTTTATTTTGGTTCCAACACGCCAGACACACAAAACCTGGGATATATATGCCTTTTGGCTTTGTGAATCGTGAAATGCAGTTAATTCCCCATTTAGGGATTTTCACGTTTAAATAGGATTTTGGGTGGATATTTTAAGAGGCCATATTTTGTTTAACCTCCTTCTTTATTTTATGCATGTAAGCATCTACGGTGCATTAGTAATGATTCGTCAAGATAGGCCGAATTTTCATGTGAAGCTCAAATTTAACACGTTACTAAAAGTAGTATATGCATCAAAGATTACTTTTACTTAAAGTATTTGATCTAATGCCCATATGAATTATTTGTTTCTGGTAATGGAGAGAAAGTTAAAGATGAGATTTCTTTTAAATTCAGTTGTAATAATTTCAGGAAAGGGCCATCCATTATTTACCATTTGTGTTTTGTAATTTTAGCATATTTATTATTGTTATTTTTAAATAAATTTGAACATTCATTTCTGTTTAAATGGCGCCTTTTTTATTTTCGTATGGTCATACTTGGTGTAATATCGCTGAACAGTAGCATTACTGTAATCGGAGCAACACAGTCTTTATAAGTAGTACTCGAAGGTGTTAATTGGTACAAATTTAGGCCAGCCAATAACGGCATTAATGAATTTAGCTATGGGATGCATGCGTTTTGGTTAATAGTCAATTGAACGGGTATAAGGAGGTTTGTTTATGGGATCACGTTTGTAGCCAATTTTCGCAAATAACTATATCGCTTAATTTAAGAGTCGCCTATTTCGAGAAACTCTTGTGTTCAGGAATGTGTATGACTATCTTTCCGTTTGGCAATAGTAGAAAGTCTACATAATTTAATAAGTTTAATGAAGATAGTAGATGGAAAGACTCATTTGAACGTGCACTTTAGAAATAGCAAAATGATAACTAATTTGAGATATAGACATGTATAGAGAGCCCAGAAATGCAGGTCTCTTTTAAAAAATACCTATTTGGTTGGAGTAGGATTGATAGAATCCAGATGATGAGGTTAAAGAGAAGTTTAGTTGAGAAAACTTAATCAAAATGATTAATTGACGAGTATTTTGGGATATTAGCAAATATGATGGAAAAATATGTTTTAGGCAAAACATGCGGCTGGACAAGTCTGGTTGATTGCTGATACAACTTTCCTGTCAACTTTCGAAAAAGTTAGCAAAATTGCCGAGGAAGCGGGACATCGGAGCAATGTTTTGGAAGAGAGTAACACTTTTCTAGATAATGCCATCTTTTCGAAAATATTCGGACCCTGTCTCCGGATCGGTTTGTGTTTGCGTGGGGGAGACCTGCCTACCCATACGCAAGAGGTTATTTAAACATAAAATGGCCTTCAAAGATTTGCGTGTCCAAAAATCAGAACTGGCTAGACACAGGAATGACGGACGCAGAACATTGGATAGGCTGGCCCTAAGGCCAATGCTTAGCAGGATATGGAGATTACTTTCAGTTTATCAGTTGGTATTCGAACTGTATTCATCCTATTTCGTTCTCGTCCAGGTTGGACTGGGCTTCAGGTTCCATCTCGCCCCGGTCTCATCAGCACCCATAGCTGGGCCCAAAACAGGAATGTCCCGACAGGTTAACCACGACGCCAGACTGCCCCGATCACCCTTCGGAAAAAGGGCAAAAGTTAATTTCAAGGAAGCCTAGGCCCTTTCCATATCACATTTCTGCGATGAAAGTGTCGATTAAGCAAAGATGTATTTGCTGTTACAATCGACTACATTATTTACAAGATGTATTAACCCAATTTCGTTTATGGTGATCAAGGACCGGTAGAAGTAGAATTC